AAAAAAATACTTAAATGATTTCACAAATCTGGCAAAACAAAACATATATATAACGACACAAACGTTGAAATAAATAAGTAGCATTGTTCAAATATTTTTTTTAATATTTTAAAAAGAATTAGGTTTAATTTGTTGCAGTACTTCATTTCACGAAGGTGTGAATTTGTAATGTAATGTAATAATTTATTGCATACTAAACTGGCCAATGGCCTCATGTATGTACTTGTGAAAACAAAAATAAAAATATAGGTTACCCTTAACTTTAAGTTCTGTTAACTGTTAATTAAACATCGAATTACAATTTGGGTGTGGTTTCCCAAAAGTGGGGGTTGTTTCTGAAATATGGGCGTGGTCATTTTTGGAACTCGATGTCCGTAACTCGAACAATTCAGTATCTCTACGCCAAGAAGCAAGCCTGGGGAAGTTGTTCGCTGGAGCGCAACTTGTAGGAACTGGGACGGTGTATTAATTATGTATCCCTAACTCAGGGAAAATAAGTCTTCGCAAGTTCAGGTCCGTGTCGGAGGGAGCTATCCCTTCATTGTTCGGCCAAATTAAATATTATTACCCAGTTACAAAAATAGTTCCGCCAAAACTACGACTGGACGGTTGTTCACTGTGAGTTGGGTCCCGGTCAAAGGTCACCTGATAATGATCTCTGCAGAACAAACTGAACTATAACCCGGAAATCGAAGCAGGGATTGGGACACATGAAACGTGACAAGAATTAGTTCAAATAGTAAATCTAGGTATCGAAAAATACGTATTAAGCAACATGGCGTGCCTACGATGGGGAATAGCTAGTGCTGGTATGATTTCCAACGATTTCTGCGTTGCCCTCAAGACACTGAACGCGGAAGAACATAACATAGTCGCAGTGGCTGCCAGATCGCTTGATCGTGCCAAGGAGTTTGCCGAGAGATTCTCCATTTCCAAGGCGTATGGGTCGTACGAAGAGCTTGCAAACGATAAAGATATAGGTAAGAATGACACGTGAATAACGCACATTTTTGGAACTCGTATTCGTCATGAGCTAGGTGTGGGACGTTGTGGGCTATAAATAGAATTGACAGCTACTGTGAGTTTATAAATAGAATACAATAGGAACAAGCGCATTGAATTGAGAAAAAAAAAACATTGAGTAGCCCAGATGTCTGATTATTTGGTGGGGGGTAACAATTGATTGATTCTGATTTTTTAATGTATTATAATAATTATCACTAAAAATGTTTACTCCACATTCAGTTGTTCGATAATAAGCTTTGAATCTAAGACTCATTCGCAAAATATTAACAAGAAATATAAATATGTACGATGTTTACCATAAAAGTATATTTGAAAAAAAATATAACCACAGACTGTGTGCCCCTCTATTCTTGTAAAGTGAATATAAAGAAAGCCTTAATAATTATAAATACCCTGGTATATTACTTTGCCCTAATTTATTCTAAAATGTTAAGATCACTAGGCATGCAATGATGTATGTCCAAAATTAAAAATTACAGGAAAATACATAAACATGTGCGAAACATTAAACCAAGAAGAGAGGAGCCCAGAAAAGATGGGTGATGGTATGATAGGATAATAACTAGAGATGTATATTGTTATTTGATATTATTATTATAATTCAATTCAAACAGTTGTGTTTGATTTCTGTCCATTTAGGAGGCTTGAGTGCTAATGCATAAATTAGAGCATCTGATTAATCTGTCAAATCTGTGTCTGCACAAGCTTTTATACAGTGCATTTTTTTCATTTTCGATATCCTGATGGCATGAACCCATAATACATAAAAATATAATTAACATGATATAAGACATATAATCTTGAAGTTGGTCCAAACTTTCTAATAATGGAATATTTCAAGCATGCTTATTAGAATTGGACTTTGATTCATTTCCATAATTTGATGCAATAAATGCAAAAAAAAATAATAAATATTATAATAACCGATCCAAAATAAATCCATGTGCTTACAATTCATACTGCTGTTGTCTGTAATAAGTTAAATAAACAATTGCTATGCATTGTGGGAAGGTATTACTCGAACCACTCCTACATGTGTATTATACATGTTTTCCAAAGGAACAAACTCTCTGAAAATCTGCTTGTCCACCTGAAAATTACAGTTGTCTGATAAACTTTTATGTTGGCTCTTTTACAGTCAATTTTTGTCCCTATTTACAAATAAAAAGTTAGCAACCACAGTATCAGTTGAATTCAAGTTCAAGGATTCAAGGATCTGGCTTTTCAAATAACTGCTCGAAAAAAAATTTAAAAACAAGGTTTTTTTTAGGTGAAGATGTTGGTACTGTACATGCAACATTGGACTATGTTAAAAGTGTGGTGTGTATTTTATTGGTTGTCCCAAGGAGTAACAGTTTTTACATATTCGGTTGCCCCATGATGTAAGTAATTGTTTGGGGACAATTACCGAACTACGGGCAATTTAGACCCCTGCATTATAGTATTTTTATCACCAGTAAGTAAAATTGGACAATTGTGTTTATATTCTAACAAGAATTATTTTTAGAAATTAAGACTTAAAGAAAACTGCATTTACAGTCAACATTGGATTAAATATTCATGTTTCATTTGTGAGCATTGTGTGCAACAGTTTTTTTTTTAAGGTTTTTTGACTAAATTTTAGAGTAAAAATTAAAAAAAACATCCACATATGTAATTTTCATATTATGGTGCTGATATAGTACAAGACAACATTTAGATTTCTGTATGAAATATAGAAGAACTACTCTCAAGTCAATGTGTATGTCATGTTATGGAGTCAAGCTTTGGAATAATATCAAAAATGATATTAAATATTGCAATAGTCAAAAAAAATTTAAACACTTCTATGTAAAGAGTCTGTTAGATAAATACAATATCCAATAACTGCAGTAACTTATTTTGCAGTAAATTTATTTTGTCAATTATTATATACCAGGACCTTGCCATACCAAAAATCATCACATTCCTATCTTGTCGTTTAGTTAAAAAAAAAAAAAATAGTCACAATGTACACAGGTGGCAACACTTAAAAGCAATGCTTCTTGATGCCCCTTTTCTATAGCTGTTGTATCTATCTGCTTGTAATTTTAACTGTCACATTTAGTGCTATAGAAATAAAAGGCAGTGTTATTGTTATTTTTATTATATACTGTGAACTATAATGTTGCACGACTCCTATGTATGACCCCAAAGGTCGCACATCCTGGTACTATGCATAACCTCAAAAGGTCACACATCCTGGTACTTTTTTAGAAGCTATGGAATAATTTTGCACTTTCTAATTCCCAATATTATATGTCAATAATTGCCATGTTCATCAGTTTGTTTTTTTTACTTTTAATGACAACTGCTTGTATTTCATGCAGAAAAATAAATTTGTAGTGAATTTGCTCTACCCAAAAAGGATGGATGTCCCAGTATATTTATTCTTCAATGAGTGGTCGGCATAAGTAAATATAATTTTGTTTCTAAAAAAAATAAACAAGGAGCCTGTCGACTGAGATAGCTCCGCTGTTAGCAATGCACATTTCAATTAAAGAACTGAAGATATCATTAGAAAATGAACAATATGCATAGTATCAATGCAATGGGACTTGCTGTTTTCAACAAGAATTCGAAAATATCACTTTTTACCAAAAATGACAAAAATATTCACCAAAATTAGAGAATTTGTGGTTTTTAACAAGAAGTCGAAAATATCACTTTTTACCAAAAATGAATTTGAGATTTTGACATGAAATGAACAAATCTGAGAAAGAACTATCCAAGGTACTTTCATATCAAATTTGAAAACATTCTGACTTGCCGTTTCGAAGAAGAAGTTGAATTTCACCTTTCATGTGAAAACATTTTCTATAATGGTGAATTTTGATGAAAAATTAACAAAAAAAGAAAAAAAAAAACATGTTTTGATGGGAAAATCATGGGCATAGACAGATTAAAAATATAATATGGATGTAGTCGCTGAATTTCTTAAAATAATTATTTGTTGTAAACAATAATTATTTAAAAAAATAACTACCCATATGTTGATGTTGATATGCCTTCAGTATTTGAGAATTTGTGAGATATCGCACTGACTAGAACATCCACAATCCACATGATAATCATATCCATTCTATCAAGTTTCCATGGTACCAGCATATTTTTCTCTGATGACATGGATACATTGAGTTTGTATTCACACGTTTTTGAGCCTTGTGTGCAAAGCACCATATGGGAATCTTTGCAGTTAGCCTGTCTGTATGCGTGTGTCTGTTCATTTCCATCTTTCACACTGACATCACAAGTACTAATTATTAACACAATGAGACGATTTCATTAGTTTTGGGTTTATATTACCTAATTGGCATAATAATTAACTTTTAAGCTTCCCACTAATTTAGTTAGAATGAATCATCACTTTATAATGAAACATTGTACATGTTCGCCCAAAACAATATATGGACCTAAATCTATGTATAATAGTTGCTTAGTTTGTATAATAACTTATTTGTTTCATTGAGGTAATCCACAGACATGATTAGTTTGAAGTTGAAAAACATGCATATTGATTATCTATTATTACCGGTAGCCCATTTCGTGATATCTAAAAAAATTAGATTTAAATCATCACAGAGGTTCTCTAGAATTAATTAGACTAAAAAACCATGGATAACAAATCAAATGTATTTTCTGCATCAATTACAAATTCTGATAATGTGAATCACAAATATTAGTTGCCAAGCTTCTAGTTTGAAAGGCGAATCTTAAATTTTTAATTAAATGTAATGTGTCTCCAATATTCTCAAGCACACAAGAGTTCTTTCTAAGCTTTCTTTGGTTCTTTACATGTATTATGCTAGACAGGTACGTTAGTGAAGTCGGCTAATATATGACATAGAAAAAAAAAGACTGCCATATACACATTCATACATACATTTGTTTGTATTGCGAGTTGAAAATATTCACATCAAAGTTTTTGGTATGTAGACCCCTTGGGTGAATCACTGTCAGATTTTTTTCCTTTTTTTTATTGTGATGATAATTTTCTATTCACTAAGTTTCTTTATTTAATTTGGGGGCTGATTATGGATGGATGAACATTTGTCTTTGTCACTTTTTGTGAAATAGGCTATTCTCAAAAGTGAAAGCGATAATACTTATCATTATTTATCAATTTTTATGACATTGTTTTTTCAGATGTGGTTTACATTGGTGCCATTAATACCCAGCATGTAGGGTTGAGTAAAATGATGTTAAATTGTGGTAAATCTGTCCTTTGTGAAAAACCACTTGGTGTTAATCTTCGTGAAACTAAGGAAGTGCTCTCTCTGGCAAAGGAAAAGAAGCTGTTCTGCATGGAGGTATGTACAGAGCAGTATGTGCAAAACTGAAAGAGCAATGGTTGTCATTCAGCACGTCTTTGAATTTTGTGTAAACAATGTATTTCACTCGCATTATGTGCATCAATATGGGTCCAACATCAAGCAGGGTATGGTGTCATGACAACCGCTCTTTAACTTCTAGCTGGGACTCATTTGGTATATTGCCTTTCCTAAACACTTGTGTCATTATCATCAACAATTTCAACGTATTTTCAGATATTTTTTGTCAATTTGTTCAAATCTATTTTTAAACTGAACCCAAATTAACCTGAGTTTGTGATTTTTAAATAGTTTACAATTGATGAGTTTTATTTAACACAGTGCATATTTATAATAATATCATTGCACTCATGTTAACAAACTTTCATCATGTTACAGAGGTATGAAACTTTTACCTAGTATTGTTATTTCAGTGAACAAATTTAAAGAAATTAAGACTTGAATAATTTACGACTGAAATATAATTAACGGAACAATAATTCATCATGCTATCACAATCAAGATTAAGCCTCAGTTTTTGAAATTTGTCAGTGGAGAGGACACACAGACATACATACAGACAGGGTAAAACTGTTGATATCCTCTTGTACCTTTGTCATTCTGGTGTCAAAAACACAAACATCAACAAATTGACCTTGCAGGTCGATGAAGTAAAATGAAAAACAATCAATCATCTCATTCACAGGTGAATATGCAAATTAGATTGGTTGGAATTTACAGCAGTCAATAAGAATGGCTTTAATTTACATATATACTCAAATTAGTCTGTGAACCAGTTGATTACATAATATGCAATTTTTTTTATTGTATTCTATAATTTTTAGGCAATTTGGTCTCGCTTTTTCCCAGCGTATGAAGAGATTCGCAGTATCGTCAATTCTGGTAAGATTGGTGATGTCAAATATGTGTACGCTGATTTTGGTATTAAAGACTTGCTAGATGTACCAAGATTGGCCAAAAAGGGTGAGAATGCCGATAATTTGTCTAATTTACTTTTTAATGCTTGTGGTCACGAAAATATTTGATCCGAGCCTTTGTGTGTTCACTTCCATTCATGGCTATTCTTGGAGGCAGAGTTACATCACAGAATGTTACTAAGATGCAGAAACAGGCTTTCATGTTTCATATTTTGACATATTGTTTTATTCATACTTCTATTATTGTATTGCCGTAATACACTATGCTGTCATTTTGTGGTATCTGCATAGTACCGAATTAGGAAATGCGAAATACTGTAGAATACTTTATTTTTGCTTGGAATTTATTTTCGCTATTTTTGCTGAAGGGATGATTCCGTGAAAATAAAATCCAGTGAATATACATTTTTTCCTATATTTTACATTAATCTCATCAAAAATCAGTGAAAATAAATTCCAAGCAAAACGCCCAAAAAGCCTTATTCAGCGAAAATAAATTCCAGCAAAAATAAAGTATTCCACAGTAATGAACGTGATTATGCAATATTTTCAAAATGGCTTTCTCATTGAAAATGAACGTGTTTAAAAAAATACAACTGATTTCTACAATCTAACTTATTATTTTGAAATTCATTTATTGCTGCGCAGCGAAGTGAATAGCGAGAAAGTTCTAATAACTTTCTACATTTTGTTCCACTCTGGGCTTCCTAAATCAAGCAGTTGGAATGTACATTGGGAGTATTGGCTTTCTTGTAGCGGAGGTTGTTGCAACCATGTACTGTCTGCATACTTACTTTGCGGCATCTTCGCGATAAACTCAGGTCAAAATATTATTATAAAATGAACAGCTGTATCAGAAAAATGTATTTGTAAACAGTGTTCTCACCAAACATGTAACATTTGCTTCATGGTTTAATCATTGGTCTCAGCTTTTTTACTCTTACAAAATGTAAAAAAACAAAAAAAAGTGTTGATTAAATCCAAACATAATAAACATTTGAGTACACTGTACCCACTATAAGGGGGAAAAAATACTTACTGTGGAATACTTTATTTTCGCTGGAATTAATTTTCGCTGAAAAGGCTTTTCGGGCATTTTGTATGGAATTTATTTTCACTGATTTTTAATCAGTTTAATGTGAAATATAGAAAAAAAAGTATATTCGGTGGATTTTATTTTCACGGAATCATCCCTCCAGCGAAAATAGCAAAAATAAATTCCAAGCGAAAATATAGTATTCTACAGTAATTTCGTTATCTGTTATTACGAAGACCCTGCAGAGTATGTCCTCGGACAGTACGTAGTCGCATCAACTTGCATCGCATGCCAGCTGATTTAGTGTGTTTTTTATCTGTTGCCATAGAAATGGCGGGTGGTACTATTTTAGATCTTGGAATTTATCCCGTACAACTTGCTGTGATGATATATGGAGACGAAATACCCAAAATTACAACACGGGGAAGTTTAACTCCAGACGAAGGTAATATCTTAAATATTTAAGGTCTGTGCTCATTCTGTGATCTTCATACACATATAAATTTGTAGACTTTTCATATTTCAGTGCAGTTGTGTTAAAATAATGAAAATGGTAGGTTTAAAATGCTAATCATCTTTCCAAGTATTAACTACACAATTCCCACGTCTGTGAAGCAGCCCTCCAAGTTCAAACTTTTGGCGGCCAGCTGGAAAATTTAGTAGCCAAGTACAAAATTGTAGGTCGCCAGAATTTATTATGTTTTACAGACTACACAGAATTATGTTTCAATTTAAGTATTTATTCAAGCATATGGTACTAAATCAAAAAGTATCACAGAGAAACTAAACTGGATGATGTCAACGTGTTCAAATTACCATAGCTCATTTAAATATGTTAAATGTTATTGAATGTACGATAACATGGAAAAGACTTGCTGATGTAGTCCGATCTTTTGGCTTGGATTTTGATGGGAAAATGGCATATTTTTTTTTTTAAATCAAAAAATTAGTTGTTTTCAAAAAATAAACTGAGCATTTGAAAAATAATTTAACATTGATTACAGTGATAACTGCTCATTGTCAAAACAAAGTTCACCAATTGGCGCCGTTATTCAAGCTAGTCTAGTAGAAACAATAAACATCATACTCTTGAATAGGCATCAATAACTATGGGTGAAACTTACTCAATTTTAGGCGTCAGGAATGAATGAAATGTCCGAAAAATTATGGCAAAATACACCTTGAAATTCCCATTTTATTTTATTTTTTAATTCTCATTTTATTTTTTTAATCCAAACTGCCGTTTAATGGCCCAGGGCAAATTTATGGCAGAATCTCGTCCCTCAATAAGGACAAATAAGGAGTTTTGATTATAACCGGATATATTGCACTGGGTCAGGGAAATACAAACTGTCTCAGTTGCTAAACTTTCATGTATCTTTTGTACCTGTATTTCGAACATTCGCAAGTTTTCCTAGGTGGTGAGAGACAGCTTTGTTCGTAACTGGACGAACTCAGTTTAATTCAATGAAGCAAACAACTGTTAAAATTAATTGAAAACAAGCAAATAATTTCCATGAAAAATCACAGAGCGATGGTAACTTGATACCGTAACAACTCTTTTGACTCATTAGTATTGTGCTGACCTCTTTTCCACATCTTGATGTTTTGTTTTCCTTGACATAATACATACTGATTGATGACTGTTTTGATTTTGAGTTGTTTAGCCTACAACTCGGCTACGACCTTTGCTTTTACCCTGAAACAAGGGTAAGTTTACATCAATTTGACGGACATTCCATTTTTTAAAAACTAACAACGCACACTGCCTATCATCCCCATTTTTTTGATTTGCTGATTTCTATTCTGAAAAAATTTGACCGTTCGAAAATGCACCTTAATTTTGTACTCTAAAAACATGTAAGATTTTCAATACGAATTATTTAAAACCGGTCAAAATTTAGATTTTTCATGGAGTTTCAACACTATCATTCGACACTGATTCACTATGTGGTACATGGTGTCCTACATATTTTTTTGAATCGCCATTCATTTAATTAAACGCCATGGCGACCAGAATGTTTGCAATCTGGAGGGCTGTGAAGTCAATCCAACTTAACGACTTACTATTTGACATATTTATTGAGTTCTCCTTCCCCTACTCATTCAACTTACACTTAAATTTGCTTAATTTTGAATATGTGAAGAGTATGATATGTTATTTATATTAATTTACTTTAACTTATCTTTACTAAACCTAAGCATCTCAAACATTTTTACCTTACCTGTACCATTAAAGATGGAAGGGAAAGGTATATTAAGGGAAAAATTTCTGTCCGGCGTTGTTGGCGGCGGCGGCGTCATCGTTGTTGATAATTGTTCTTGTGTGCACAATAACTTTACTAATTCTATTCCAAACTTTATCAAACTTGGTCACCATATTCATAAGTACAAAGTCTTCCCCGAGTTCAAAATTAAATATGACAATGCATATTCATACAAACTATGATAAAGGGAATAATATTATATAACAAAGGGCAAGGTCACCAGAGTTCAACTATGTTTATGTTAAGTTACAATTTGAATGATGATATTTCTACTTTGTTACGTTTTATTTAAATAAACGTAACCACTTAACATACATTATACTTGGGACATATCTGAGATACTCCACAGACAAGAAACTGTAAATATACAATAATTGTCTACTTCCGTGCCCACAATGGGAGTTAACGCAGTTTCTGTCTTTGGGTTAAAATCTGGGCACATTATCTAATATATATAATAATTAGTACATTGTCTGCTTTACCATTGATATCACAAGTACTAAATTATCATATTCCATTGAAATTTGGTATATAGATGCTCTGGGGTAATCTGCAGGCGTGATTAGTTTAATGTGAAACAAATGTTCATAATTTTCATTAGACGATTTCAGATTTAAACTGAGCTGCTTGCACAAGAGCTGTGGAATAAATCAGACTGCAAATCACAAATATACAATTAAATGATAATGACAATTTCATTCCTTAAATATTAAAATCATCTTTAAAGTTTTATAAAACGGTCAAATGACAGTCACATGACCATTCATCAAGTTAAGCAGAGGCTCTGGCTCACTGAATTAGCAACTTGTGTGTATAACTTGTTTTGAAAGCAATAGACATTATAATTTCAAACTCTAGTTAGTCCCCGTTCGGACGCAGTCCGAAAACGGGGACTTATGTTTTGACCTCCGTGCGTGCGTGCGTGCGTACGTCCGGACCTTATCTTAGAAATGCCCGGACCAATCACAATCAAACTTCACACATACATCATATATGATATTATACATATGCACGTCAATTTGTTTCACGATCTGATTCAAGATAGTCGAATGGCGGCCATTTTTGTGCTAAAAATCATCAAAATCAAGCATTTCCCAGCTCTTTACAGATGGATTTTGTTCAAACCTTGTATATATGTTGGACATTATAGAACCTTGATGCACATCATTTTGTTTTACGATCCGATTCAAGATGGCCGAATGGCGGCCATTTTTGTGCTAAAAAATCCTAAAAATCAAGAACTTCTTGGCTGTTTACAGATGGATTTTGTTCAAACTTGGTATATACATTAGACATTATGGAATCTTGATGCAAATAATTTTGTTTTTCAGATAAGATTCAAAATGGCCGACTGGTGGCCATTTTGTTTTAATGAATGGGCTTCTAGACCTATATCTCCGACTTGTTTTGACTGATTTTGTTCAAATTTTAAATATTCATTATACATCATGTCATAGGATAAACAGATATATTGGTTCGACGATCCTATTCAAAATAGCCGAATGGTGGTCATTTTTGTGCTAACAAATTATCAAATATCAAGCATTTATGGATGGATTTCGTTCAAACTTGGTTTGAACATTAGACATTACGGGTTCCTGATGCACGTCATTTTATTTTTCAGATTGAATTAAAAATGGCTGACTGGCGGTCATTTTGTTTTAATGATTGGGCTTCTAGAGCCATGTCTCTTAAATGCTTTGACTGATTATGTTCAAATTTTATATCATGTTATATATACATACATGTATTCAAAATGGTTGATTTTGAATGCTGTTCCAGAGCAATACCTCTCAATATGGACATATTCCTGACATGGTTATATTCCAGCTATATTACCATAAACAAAACTATACATCTTAAATTGATAACTAACGGGGACTGTGCCATGCATGGCTTGTTTTCTACGTGTTCACCAATGCAATTCCTAGCACATTATATTTAAAATTATAATCAATGACAATGAGTGATCTTTATTAAGGGTACACCTGTGTGAAACTATAAATACTTCAAGTTTTTTCTATGAAGATTTCAGATATTGGTAGACACTGAAATTTTGTACAATATGACATGTTTTAATTGACTATTATTATTCTTCCCAGGTGTCGATGAGAGTGCTGTGGCTATATTACAGTACACAGGCAATAGATTAGCTGTGGTCACAAGTCATGGGAGAGTTAATACTAATAGTGAAGCTAGTATTGTTGGCACCAAAGGATCAATTAATGTAAGCAAAGCAAATATGCATATGTTTCAACTTTTTCAAGCGGAGTGATTGTTGTCCGTCACCCATGTTGAATTTTTACATTTTTGATTTCTTGAAAACTACAATTCTTAAGGCTTGATACATGTATGTTCCTTGGGCAGACTTCTCTTTGATTTGTTTTGTGATGATATCTTTAATTCCCTAATTTTGATGAATATTTTTGTTGTTTTTGGTAAAAAGTGATATTTTTGATTTCTTGTTAAAACTGCAAGTATGATTGCTTTGATATTATACAAATTGGTACTACTCGTAGACCTCTCTCAGATTTGTTCATTTCATGATGATATCTTCAATTCTCTAGCTTTAATGAATATTTTTGTCATTTCTGTTAAAAAGTAATATTTTCATTATCTTGTTGAAAACCGAAAATCTGATTGCTTTGATACTATACATATAGTTACATGTATAGGTAGACCTCTCTCAGATTTGTTCATTTTCAAATATCTTTAGTTCTTTAATTGAAATGGGCATTGCTAACAGCAGAGCCATCTTAGCCGAGAGGCTGCTTACTGATGATATTTCAGACTTTGGATTCGATATCCTGATTAACTCTAATCATAAGCATAACAATTAGTCCAATAAAATAAGAATAAAGTCAATTTGATTCAAACCTTCTTGCATGTATGCGTCTTTGTTTCTTCCTGTTTGCAGGAAATCTGTTCTACTCGTATCATTATTCTCCATGCTTTTTCACCAGCATTTCCCAGCAAAACTAGACATACTGTGTATCATAGAGCACCAAATGTGCCATCTGTAGAAGAAACAGTCAATTTGAGATAATGCGAATATGGACATATTACATGAAGCTTGTTATGTTTTTTTTTGTAGGTGCCCTTCCCATTTTGGTGTCCAACAAAGATAATAGTCAATAGTGACCAGGGCCAAGAGATCAAGGAATTCCCTCTACCAGATCCACCATTAAAGTTAAACTTTACAAATAGCAGTGGCTTGAGGTATGAAGCCGAGGCAGTCAGGAAATGTGTATCAGAAGGTATGTGTGTAATCTGCAGCTTTACATATAACATTGATTTAATGCATATAATTTTATGCCTATGGTGTTACTAGGGGGTACTGTTGTATATATGAATCCAAGAATATCAATATCATGGTGCCTTCTCGAACACTTTATAGCTTTAATAAAAAAACGCAAATAAATATCATTGGTACTGTTTCATATTAAATTTTGTAATAGAATGATCATTTAAAATTGGCGTACTCAGTATAGGTAATTACATGTTTCAAATGTAACAGCCATGCTTATGAGCAGCATCTTGAAACTGGTGCAAGCCCGGGGATTACAAAAATACGATAAAAATGGAACCAGTTCTTGTTCTGGCAAATATATGTAGTGATATAGAATTTCTGTACGCGAATCGAACGCCTGCAAAGAAAGTCGAATAATTAGTTTTTTTATATTTGATTTTTGAAAAAAAATCAGGCAAATGTTTAGAGGTTTCATTTATGAAAAGTTACTAAAGTTGAATTTTGAGGATTAACTAAAAAAAACAAATAATTCAAATTATTTTTCTCTTACAGGTAAATTGGAGAGTGATTTTCTGACGCATAGACAGTCAGAAATCATTGCCACTATTCTTGAGAATATGAGACATGATGTTGGCTACATGTTGGAACAAGATAGACAGCCTGTAGTTATGGCATCGCAATAAACTAAATAAAAAACATTAAACCGTCCAATACCATAAATAGTATGTAATAACTTAAACAAATTAATTTGGAAACATTAAGCATTACAAATATCACGATACAGACTGTTATAAAACTAATATTTTTTTAATTTGAAAACGAAATATATTTCTTCTTGAGGTAGCAACATACAGTAACAGCATTTCAACAAGATATACTGTAGCATATTAATATCTCTGGTTAGATAGAAACATGAATAAAAGAAGGTTCATACGGCAGTTACAAACATATTTCAGTTGTTATGCTAATTGTTCACGTTTGTCTTTATTAATTGCTTATTAAACATTCAATTGGTTCCTGAATGTAGACTGAAACAGCATTCCATTTGTCCAAGTTGGCACATAGACATGAGGTTGATTCCTATTGACTGCATTCCACATTAGTTTTATTTCACGTCTTCCTTTCCATCGGTGATGAAATTATTTTAAATTAAATTTAAATTACGGGTACGGGCATTTGTCCCCATCGCAAAGAAAAACATGTGCTTCTCCCAGGCACAAACTCCCATATTCGATCAGGAATATACAATTATTTCCAAATGTTATACTGCTAAAGTTAGGACTCCAAACTTTGATCCAAATATTGCTAGGCATATATTTCCATGGTTTCAAAAATAGGGCTTATCAACCAATGGATTTGTGGGACATTTATATTTAATTGTTCGAATGGTGATATGTCTTTGAAGCAAGTGTTCTTTTGTTATGTGCATATATATGTATATTTATACCACTCTTGGTCACGTGCATCATTGTTCTCGACAACGATTTATTCTTGCAAACAGGGTGAATTTATATGCAAATTGTAAAAAGCAACGCATTCGCAAATATGCAAAGTGTAAACGGTCACACTTTCATTAATATGCAAAGTGTAAATGCTACACTTTGTATCAAAAGTGTAGCGTTTACAATTAACATATCAATAGAAGTTTACAATTTGCACATCAATCAAAGCGTTACCGTTTACAATTTGCATTACAAATTAAGTATATGCATTTAATTACACAAATCACAATGAGGGTGCAAATCGCACTAATTTAATTATACTTTCTATGGGGAAAAAATACTACAACACTACAATTCAATATTGACACATTTGTTTCCGTCCTGGATCATAATTTTATTTTGTTTAGAACAACAATCATTTGAACGACACATTTCTCTGAATTCTGCATGTG